TTCACTCCCGTATTCAACAATATGGGAAAGGGGCAAGCCATCCATGAGGAATGCAGAAGCAATTCCTCAGGGCGGCAGGCTCAGGACCACTGAGAGGGGAGGCAGATCTGGGCCCCCAAGAGCAAGCTGCTCACTGCCTGCCTCCTCCACTGCCTCCTACTCCCCTCTCACATCCTCCTCTGTCTCTGTCTACCCCCACTGCCACTGGCACACACCCCCAGCCTCCTTTTTCTCCCCTTTTTCTTGGCAGTTGGGGTGGAAGCAAAAGAGGAGCTTGCATCAGGGGTCAGGGAAGAGTCAGTATCAAGGTGACATCAAGGTGGGAAAGGCAGCACTTTCCATTTTGGCTCAACGGCAAAATGTGCTGGGCCAGCCCTGATATGGGAGCACCCCTCCCTCAACATGCATGCATACAACATAAATGTGCCGTGTATCCCCCCCCCCCCGCATACGTCCATCATGGATGAGACCAGGGGGCCAGTGACAGTGGCGATATGTGCCAATAGATGTCCCTTTAGTGCAGGAGTAAGGAACTTGTGGCTCTCAATATGTTATTGGACTCCCAGTTTCCCATTAATCCCTGGCCATGTTAGCTGGGACTGGTGAGAGCTGAGGTCCATTGACACCTGAAAGGCGCCATGTCCCTCCTCTCTAGTATTTTGGGAGCTGCTGTTGTGGGCGCAGCAAGCACTCCATTAGACACATTGGGAAAGTGGTTCTAAGAGCTGGACCAGATGAGCAGAACCCTTGTGGGGTGTACCTATTGCCGGGATGTACCACTGCAGTCTGTGGGGGCGGGGGGGGGGCGTAACTCATGTTTGAAACATCTTCCCTTAAAAAACATTACCTCTTAATTAAGATATGGTCAAAAAGTACAAGCCTAGAACCTTCTCCTTGATAATTTTAGGCGTGAATAGTGCATTTAATGTGTGTATGGCATTTCTACAACTGACACCCCCCCTCCGTTTCAAGCAGTGGTTCTCAACCTTTGGGTCCCCAGATGTTGTTGGACTACAACTCCCATCATCCCTGAGCTCTGGCCTTGCTAGCTAGGGGTGATGGGAGTTGTAGTTCAACAACATCTGGGGACCCACAGGTTGAGAAAGGCTGGATAGCATGAAATAGTAAAGCCCAGTACCACATGGGAGATCTACTCTTCTGTTTTATCTCTCAGCTGACTCTATTTTCTGTACAGTGAGGGCTGTGGCTCTGTAGTACAGCACCTGCTTTGCATGCAGACGGTCCTAGGTTCAATTTTTTGTCATCTTTAGGTTGGACTGGGACAGACTTCCCTGTCTGAAAGCCCAGAGAGCTGCTGCCAGTCAGTGTAGCCATTACTGAGCTAGATGAGCCAAAGATCTGATTCAGTATAAGGCAGCTTCCTATGCTTCTGTGCACAGCATAAGAACTATATACCTGCTTTCCGTAAAATGTCAAAACAGTGACAGATCTGGAGGCTGATTTCTTACTTTCAATAACTACATGGTTGAATTCCTAAGCTACTCCTTATAATGAACCCACAGGCACAACGGTGGCCACTCACTTGATTGGGATAGAACTCCTTCGAGACCTAAAGGCCAACATAAAGGACTACCAACAAAACCGGCGGAGAGGGACAGAAATAGACCTGAAAGCCTCGGATATCAGGAATCCAGGCTAAGAACAGTTATTGTGGACAAGTACTTGGGAAGGGACGAACTGGGGAGGGGAGGGGAGGGAAAACAGAATTTTTTTTTCTTTTCTTTTTTCTTTTTTATTTTTTAAAAAATACTAATGATTTTTGGGTCTAGTCAATATGATTGAAGTTTAATAAAAAATGGGAAATCGATGGAAGGGATCTGAGTCCAACTTAGGATAGAACTATTTTTTATTTTTTTTTATAAAAGATGCAATACTAACATGCTAAGGAGAGAAAATAATAACTTGCTGACATAATTATGGGAATTGGGATGTATGAAGGGGGGGTGGGGGGAAGTCAAGGACCAAGGTTAAGAAAGTAAGATTTTCGAAATTATACATGTTCTTTGTTTTTGTCTTATATGTGTGTGTTATGTCTTTATAAAATGTGAAAAACCAATAAAAATTATTGGAGAAAAAAAACGGTGGCCACTCAGACAGTATAAAACAATAATCATAGAATTGTAGAGTTGGAAGGGGAACCATGAGGGTCATCTAGTCCAACCCCTTGCAATGCAGGGATCTTTTGCCCAACGGGGGCTCAAACTCACGACCTTGAGATTAAGAGTATCATGCTCTATATATTGATTAATCCCACTCTCTAAAATGGATGCATTGAGGGGAAACACTTATTCATTCTGTTGAAAGGGGTCAAAAAGCCAGGTGGTTGTCTCTGACTGAGGTCTTCTCAGAGAAGACACACTGAAATTAATGGATGTGACAAATTTAGGTACATCAATTCCAGTAGGTCTACTTTGAGTAGAACTTAGTTGGAGACAACTAAGCAGACATAGCCAAACTCACCCTCCAGATGTTTTGGGACTACAACTCCTATCATCCCTGACCACTGGTCCTGTTAGATAGGGATGATGGGAGTTGTAGTCTCAAAACATCTGGAGGGCCGAGTTTGCCTATGCCTGACTCAGAGGCTAGGAATGTTCCACTTATTGACACTACGCTATACCTAGTTAGCCAATTATCCTTTTATACAGCAGGCATTTTACTACACATGGCGGTGCCCCCCCCCCAACATCTGAACATTGGTATTGGCATCTTAAGCACACAATCAAGTTCACAGCCCTTTATATGGGTTTATTTAACCTGGACTGGTTATCACTCCCCCCCCCCCCAGTTCTGCATTCACAGTTATACTCTTAAGTGTTATGCTACTACAGTGAGCCACGACTCTCCACTCCACCTAGAAGCATGAAAGAAGGGGCGGGGTGGCGGTGAACCCAACCACAGTAATCATGGGTAGAACAAGGCAGTTAAGGTATATAAAGAAGGACCAGATTCAGTAAGCTACTTTGAATGATATAATCCCAAGAATCACAAAGAGTATTTGGAAACATAAAGGACACGACACCAATCCCAAAGGGACCTCCCCTTTCTGTGTTCCTTCAATGATCTGCAAGCCTTTCTTCTTGACCAAGATGCTCTTACACTGGCACACTCTGAACACACGTCAGCTGCCAGATGCAAAAATGCCCAGCTGGATATGAAATCTTCTTGACTCTGTTCCTGCAGGATCCCAGAAAGAAAAGGGGGGGCATGCACAAAATCTCGCCAGGAAAGCCTTTCAGGCAGAGAAGCCTGCTCAAGAGAGCCAAATGGGCAAACACACCAACAAAAGAAGCACAGAGCTTTGCTTTTTTAAAAGAAAAAGAAAAAGAAAGAAAATGGCAAACAGAACCATTCATGCAACAATCAAATCAAATAAAAATGGCTGACATTATTAAAAGACACACACACAGAGATACAGATACACACCCACCAGCTTATCCTGAAATAAACCACCTTTGTTCTGGGTCCTGGCTGGTTATTGTTGTGATACACATTTTATTCTGACCATTTTATTAACAGATATTCTGAGTACTTTTGACTTCCAGTGCACTGCATGCTGCAGATTATCTGTCAGATGGGCATCCTGGATAGAACAGTCCAGAGGTAGGCTGCAAGAAAGACAAAGCCATATGGCAGAGAGCTAATTGGTTTGCGTTTGGCTCCCTCCTGGATTAGGCAGGGCTTCTCTGCTAGTTTTGCATCTCTTTCCCCCCACAGCCAAAGGCAAATCATAGGAGGTATTTGCGTGGCCCCATGATTCATTGGCATGGAAAGCATGCTGCTCCTTGATTAAACTTCAATCTCTCTGTCTCTCGTTTTCCACGCCCAGATAAGCACTTCGCCGAGTTCCCCCTGCTGTGCTGCTGACCTCTTTTTACTCCTTGGCGACTGAGAAAACCTTAAGGCGACAATAATCCACCCAGCACCAGAACTGCGAGCAGCACAACCCACCCGGTGTGGGACAAAGGGTTGATCTGGGCACCAGAACTGAAAGCCCAGGAGAGGGGTGCGATATCAGCACAGAGGCGATGTTCCTGGCTTGATGGCATATGGCATTGCTCAGTATTCACAGCCAGCCCTGTCGCTAGGCACAGAAATATGTGGCGTGAACCACTGGTGTGCAACAGACAGCAGCAAAAAAGAAAGAAAAGGGAAAACCAAATCACAAAGGAGAGGGCAGGTCTGCCGTTCGGCCATAAGCACAGCCACGCTGGATTTCCCCCACCGCCTCTCTGCTCCGAGGGATCAACGCCCAACCCAGCTTAGCTTTCTCTCCACCCACCTACCTCAGTCAAACAGTCCTGAATGAGAAAATATTAATCTGTGGAAGAAAATTAACCGTAGATTTTGGGGGAGATTTGAGGGGTGGGGGAGGCAGGTTGGTGAGAGGGACTGTACGATGCAAGGGAACCATTTTGCAATCTGGGCTGCCCACCGCCGCCTCCTACTTATGGCTGTAGTAGTGACTCTACTCCACGCTTCACCCCGCATAGTACTATCTCCCCACAGACGTGCCTGCAGGGACTTGTGGACCGACTCAGCGCACCCCTCAAGTTATTCTTTTTTAAAAAAGAATAATTGAGGTGGGGGCATCCTCAGTCTCGCCACCACTCGCGTGACCCCGCCTCAGTGCATAAAAGGAATAAAGCCGCGATCTGCTCGCCTGCTCGCAGCGCCTTCTGGACGCAAGGAGTGTCCGTGCGCGCCGAGGCTTAAGCAAACACACAAAGGATATGAATACATACACCCTTCCGGAACAGCAGAGGCAGGCGCTTGGGGAGGGGCAGCAGCGTGGACCACGTTCCCTTTTTCCTTACTCCAGATCGCCTTTCCCACGCTGGAACTCCACACCCGCGCAGAACAGCAGGAAGGCGGGCAAGCAGAGCAGCCACGCGAAAAGCGAGATCCCTTTGGATCGCTCCCTTTCTCAAATCCGCATACAAACATTCATATATATTTGCATAGGTGCAATCGCTTACTGTGCGTGGCAATGGAGGAAGCCGGATCCCAGTCCCATGCCGCCAGCCAAGGGAGCAGCAGCAGCAGCCGGCGGAGCCTCCTTAAGCGCGAGCGAGGCTCAGCACCTTTGCGCTGAACAGCTCCACACACAGCCTACCCATGCGCGTCGCTTCTCTTACACCAGCCGCCGCCGCCGCCGTGGCCACCGCAGGCTCCATCCTTCATCCCCGCCCAACTCCGCCCCCGGCTTCTCCCATTGGATGCGCCGCCTGGCTGATTGATGCTGAAGCGATCGTTCCAATTCCACCCCCTCTTTCTTCCCCAAAACACACATACACACACACACACAAGTGACGCCAGCCAAAGGAGGAAACTATTTCTCCCAAGCGGGAGTCTAAGAGGAAGGTTTGGACTACATCTCCCAGCCACCTCTGCGGCGGATCGCTCTCTCGCACGCTCCTCTGCAGCAGGGGGTCCTGGGATTTGTAGTGCTTGCCTGCCAGGAGTTATTCACCACCACCACCACCATGAGACAGGCAGGCTCCTATCGCCTGGTGTGCAAAGGTGATAAGGTATCGAGGGAAGGTCCTGTAACCAAGAAAGTCGCTGAGGTCCATTTCAAACTTACATGGGGGGGTGGTCTCAAAGGGGTAGCTGTAAGAACTGGGTTGGTATTAAAGCCATGATTTCTTTGGAAATGCGAAGTGGAATAATAATTATAACCCCTTGAATTCTGCTTTGAATTTGAGCAAAATCTTATAAGTACATAGTTAAGTACATGTTTCTATTTAAGCTGTAAGCCACCTTGAGTCCCTGTCTGGGAAAAAGGTGGGATATAAATACATACATACATACATACATACATACTCCTTTGCTGTTCTGCCAGATATGCCTGTGGACATATTTTTTTTAGCAATCAGTTTTCAACAAAATTATTGAGTGGCCTGAAAGCAGGAATCCCTTGCAAACAGTGTGGTTCCAGTCCCCAGGCCAGCATCTGGTTTACAGTGGGGATACGAAAGCCAGAACATCTGAAATCCAGCACTCAGCAGAGTTGAGGATATAAATAAAGAAGCCTCTTGAGGTAATTAGGAGGGACAGAGTAAAAAGCAAGCAAGGATGTTGCAGTGCCAGATGCTCTTTTTAAATCCTTGAGGCTAGTGGTCAAGCCAACCATATGGCCAGTTGTGTCTTCCAGATGTATAAATGCACATAATTGCTAAAAAGTGAAATGGAGCACTGTTATTATCATGTGCCTTTTCCTCGGCTTTCTGAAATAGAGCTGAAATGGGCTTGTGAGAAGTTGATGTTTTGCAGCACAAGAAACCTGCCGGATCAGACCAAGTGCACAATTAGTTCAGCATCCTATTCTCACAGTGGCCAACCGAATGCTGTAATGGGAAGCCTGCAAGCAAGACATGAGTACTTTCTCCACTCATGTTCCCCAGCAGCTCGTATTCAGATATTTGCCACCCCGATACTAGAGGTAGTCCATAGTCTAGTGGACATTGGTAGCCATATCCTCCATGGATCCCTTTTAAAGCCCTCCAGGTTGGCCACCACTGCATGAAAATCACAATTTAAATGATTATCTTTAGAACCTGCAGGCAAATATTTGGAGTTGGGGAGGATTTTGATGCACATGAAAGGCCCTCTGATTTCATTCCCTGCTGCCTGTATCCAGGCATCTTTGCCTCTCTGCTTTCTGAGGTCCAGGATTCTCAACAGCCCTTTGCCATGACAGGCAGTGGAACAGGTGAGTGACAAGCAAGGGGGAGGGACGAACACCAGGCAGGGGGAACACCATCACACCAGGAAATTTAAAGTTGCAGCATGGCTTCCCAAGTTGAACCCCAGCAATCCTGCTGCGTCCCTGCAGGAGAACTGATATCTCCCTTAAGCATCCTTCAGAAGATAGGGGTGGGGAAGAAATTGGATTCCTTCTGCATTTAAAGAAAAAGCAAGCCAGTTCACACTTTCCCAAACAATACGTGAACCGAAACACAGCTATCTTTTAAAATTCTCACTTTTCCAGATTTTGCAATGCAGTTCTCCAACCACTATACTAGGGTAAACATGACTGAGCTGACTTACTTTTTTATGATTATCTTATATGTTTTTACCTTTTTGTATTTTATCTGTATTGTTTTAATTTGTTGAGTCCTGGACTGGGGGGGGGCAGGATATTTATTTATTTATTTATTTATTTATTTAATTTGTATACTACCCTATACCCATTGATCCCAGGGTTAAATATAATAATAATAACTTAGGTTCATTGATTTCAATAGGTCTGCTCCAAGTAGGACTTCATTTAACACATTTATTCATATATATAACCCACCTTTCTTCTGGTACAGAACCTAAGGCAGCTCACAGCATAATTCAAAACACATACAATTGAAAACAGAGAATAAATATATATATTAAAAAATAATTCAGTATCTCTATTAAAAAAACAACACTGAAAGCCACTTGAAACTAATGGTAATAATAAAATATAATTGACAGCCATTGGCTATTCTGGGGACAAACTGAGAAGCCCCTTCAGACTTGAGGCTTGAGCCAGAACCAGTTGCCATTTTCTACTACTGCTTTGGATTTCTCCTTGCTAAGGGTGCACTTAGTGTGATATGAGGCTCTTTCAGTGAATCTTGGCAGCTCTCAAGCTGCAACAGGAGCGGAGAGTTCTTATCCCCCAAACAATGTTCCAAGTGCAGTCAGCACACAAAGCAATATGGTGAAAATAAATTGCTCTATAAGTGAGTTTGAAAAGAGGGGGGAGAGAAACATTTTAAGAGAACAATCCAAATTCTGTACAGTGGAAAGGAAGACAATGTTCTTAACCGAGAAAGAGCAAAAAGTAGAACAGAAACAGAAGAATGGGATTGGGACATTGGTCAGTGTTTCCCCAAATGTCCTTAGGCAAATTTTGGATGGATAAAATGAACATCCACTTGGCATGTAGGCATCTTAGGAGGTTGATGGCAAGCTGGGAAGGCTGGTGCTCCCATCCAGTATCCTTGGGCAGCTGTACAACCGGGGCCACTACCATCCTACACTGGATCTCAGGATTAGGATTATTTAGGATTAGCGGGGAAGTGCCTGGCACTGCCCAGGAATTTTTAGAACCCAAAGAATATAGTAGCGGTTTTTAAATGGATGGTGTAATTTCTGAATTTGGACCCATCTTGCCAAAAATTGGGTGACGTTGTGCCAAAGCCACATTTGGGCTTGCCATCTTGATTCAAAATGGTGCCCAGTATCCAGACATGAATGAAGACTGCTGCCCCCACCCACTTAAGGAACTTGAATGCAGAGTTTCGCAACGATATCTCAAGAGATAGCAGAACCTATGCCCAAAACTGGACGAAATCACATCAAGGTCACTTTTTAGTCTGCCACCTGAATTCAAAATGGCCCCCGGCCTGAAGGCGGCCACCCCCATCTTGGGAACCCTCATGCCAAGCTTGGCAGTGATACCTCAAGAAGTAGCCAAACCTGTAGAGAGCAGACGGATGGACAGATGGACAGACAGGGGGTTGTGGTGAAGAGACCAAATTAGGGGTTCCTTGTGTAGCCCCACCCCCACAGCATGTTTTTGCTGTAGTTTTAACTGCTTCTGTGACACATTCTTTCTCCTCTTAAAATAGGCCAATTAATAAATGTGTGTTAAATTAATTTAATGCATATATGCACACATAAAATTCAAGGTTAGATAGCTGCTGTTGTTGTTTTAATGATGTTTACATGGCAGACACTTAAATAAATTAAAACAAATGCTCAAGAATATTATTCATCAATACAGTTTCGGTCAGTGGCTAAAAATTAGATTCAATCAGACAATATTTTGGGGCCCGGTAGGCACTTTCTATTGTAAAGCAGAAGGGGAGAGTAAGGAATCAAGGAGCTCTTGACAGCATCTGAAGACACAGCGGGAACTTTGCAAAGCTTTCTTCAGTCCAATACCAGCAATTACCTTTTAATCACTCTTTTATATTCTGCAACATGACTTTGGATGGCACAGAATGGTATCGTGGCTGAGCACAACATTGCTGCAAAATACAGTAAAATTAAGGGAGACTTTCTATTCTTGAAAAATAAGAAAGGCTTCCTGCTGAACAGACAGGGCATAAGAAGTTCTGCCATTTATCCTGAATCAAATCTGCTGTCGTGTCTCTTCCTTCTGCCTTATGCTTCATAACAGCCAGAAGAGACGTTGCATGTAATCAGATCTCCTGGTTTTCTTAAAAGGGGGCGGGGAGGCAATTCTGATTGCAGCAGCCCTGTGCTCCCCAGTGCTGTTTTCCTGATCTAAATTGCCCCCCTCCCGTTCTCCAGTGCCGCTGTAAGAAACCCTTGGAAGAAAACACAGGGCTGATAAAGGGACTTGCCTACTCCCACATCCCCCAGCTTCAGGGACAATTTGATAGGGAGAACCACAGACCCAGGGGCTGAAAATGGTCTCCCAAGCACTCCGTTTGGCCCTTGGATCTCTCCCTACGCCACCCCCCTCCCCTGCCCTGATTCACACCCTGAAAGTATTTTTGCCTGGCTAGGATATGTCCTTGAACTCTGTCAATGCCTCCTGCTTGCCCAAATAGAACAATGTGTCTGAGCAGGTGTAGAAACTAGCCTACTGTACAAAGGTAGAATTTGCATTAGTTGCTCCACCCACTTTTGCCTCTGGCACCACCCACCACTGACATGATGTGCCCCTTGGAATCTTGCCCAGAAAGAAAAGTGACCCTAGATCTGAAGAAGGTTCCTCGTCACGGTATTAACACAAGGTTAAAACTGCCCCTTCAAATTCAGGTTCAAACTTCACTCTCATGACTGCTCTGGAGTTTGTTTGGTTTTTTAACCTCTAGGATTGATTGTGACGCCTATTGTGGCTCTCTGCTTCATCAACTACCTCAGGAGCTGTGTAAATCTTCCTTTTAATGTTGAGTCTCCCTGTGATGGTATCACCCACCCAAATTATGAAGGTGAAAATGTGGGCTGTGTGTGCTCTTATAAGTAGCAAGGCCACTCTTTTCTAATGCCGCAGGGCTCAGGGAGCAGATGACTCACATTTTGACAAGGAATCAAGCTCTTGTTTCCTGACACTTATGTTAAGCCAGCAGCTTCTTTAAAACATCCTTTTGCAGGGCACATTATCTAAGGGCAAGCTGGAACCAAGAGTCTTCAGAGTTTTCTTAGAAATTTGCAGCAA